TTTTTTTTTTTGTGTCTGTGAACGCTCAATCTCAGCTCTCGCTGGACCGATTTTGATGAACAATATGTCAAAAGATCACAAATCGTATCTAGTCGAAGACATTACCCTCAAAAATTGAAAAAAATTCCCTCGTTCCCCGTAAACGGGGGAAACCTCCAAAAAAATTACAAATTTTCGAAATTTTTTCAATTTTTTTATTTAAAATTGCCATAACTTTTTTAAAAATGACTGAATCAATATAATTTTTTATATAAATGCATAATATCATTACCTTTCATTTGGTATATTTTTTTTTATATGTGACCCTTTACTTGCCCACAGAGGGGTATTATAATGACAACTTTTTCACAAAAAATTAATTTTTTCAACTTGATTTTTGAAAGTGTTCTAGAAACTCTGACACTTTTATATATATCTTAAATTAAAGATAATGTAATATACTTTAATATGGAAAAAAAAAATTTCGGACTTTATTTTATCTTCACGGTGAAAATAGCTACCGAATGCTATTATTGTGTGAAAATTTTCGATTTTATTTTTTACATTTTTAACTTTATAATGCTATGACATATTGAAAAAAATATGGATCAACATTATTTTTTTATGAGAAATAATATTTTTTATTAATCCCTTTTTCATTCGACATACTTTATCTTAATTAGGATATTAATAATGAACTAGCAGATCATGTAGCTTTTGGAATAATTCACCAATTTTTTAAAATTAAACACTATCTAAAGATTTGCATCGAAGCGTTTTTTTTTTATAGTGATTTTAATCACTGTCAGGTATCATTATACTTGATCCAACTATGACACATCACCACTGTGCCGCGGCCCCCCTGTGCTGGGTTTTTTTTTATATATATCTTTGATATTTACCTACCATTTGGTATATTTTCTGTGAAAATTTGACCCTTTACCTGCTCATAAAAGAAACCCTCTTGTGAGCAGCTAAATGGCACGTTTCTACAAAAAATTGACTTTTTCAACTTAACTTTTGAAAATGTTCCAAAAATACTGTCACTTTTATGTATATCATAAATTAAAGCTTATGTAATATACTTATCTACGAACAAAAAAAATGTCGAACTTTAAATTGTCTTTATGGTGAAAATGGCTACAGTATTAAAAAATAATTTATTTTATTTAAAAATACCTTACAAAGAGAGCACATTGATTTTCATAAGTTTAATTTTCATTAAATTTAATTGACATAGAATATAAAGTAAAACTTATTTAAATTTTTTTGCTTCTCATTAGTTGAGAAAAAAAACTTTTGAAATTTTGAACTAGTATAAAATGTGTCATTGTTATCTGACACCAAATGCTATGTATAGTTGTCGTGTCAGTAACATTTATATCTTTCACATTAGGGGTACATGGAATCAAATCCATCAGTAAAAATTAATTTTTTGCACTTTTTTTGAGTCAGAAAAATGTTTTTATTTCATTTTATTTTTATCTCATTTAGATTCAATAACTTCAATGAACATCAAGGATCCTATCACTGTAGTCTTCCCTTGCGAGTAGAAATTTCTTATTCGTATTAAAATGATTTTAGTATGTAATATTTTTTATAGGTTGTCATTTATATTCTCAGCTCTCACTTGATCAACTTTAATTAACGATACATTAAATGATCACAACTATTATCTAGTTGAAGATATTACCATTGAAAATTTAAAAAAAAAAACCCTTTATAAAATATAAAGTTGTTTTCTTCATACAGACAATTAAAATCTTTCATTTCTAATATTTTTAAAGTATTCAATGTCAAATTAGTTTTGATATGATAATAGGTTTCAATTACAAAATTAAATTATTTTACTTTGTAATTTATTAATTTTTTAACACTATTCGTGTGTGATATTACCAGTCTACAATAGTCCAATTTTTTTTTCTATATAACAATGATTAAAAAAATACAAAAATACGTTTCTACCTAATAGGCCAGTCTGACCTCAACATATAAACTATATATATATACAGGGTGTTCACTAAGTCAGGAAACGGGTTTCTATTGTTCTCATTGTTTGTAACAATGAGAACAATAGAAACTCGTTTCCTGATTTACTGAACACCCTGTATATATATATTAATTTAATGATTTACTCCAGGATGGACTTTTATTAATATATAAGAATTAATATTCTAATATAAATTTAAATCAGGACGAGCCTGTGATATATAATTATGTTTCCGTTTAAAAAATTGACCAAATATTTTGACGTAAGAATTCAGCTGTACATACATATTGTACGTGTAAAGTAATACATGTATTATATATGGAATAAAAAATTGAAGTGATTAGTTTAGACATAAAAAGTTTTAAGCTCATTCAAATTCTACTGATTTTCAATGTTAAACATGACGTCATATTGTAGTATCAACTTAGTCAAACTACTTGAATTATAATGAGTTATTTGATAGATGGTAACACTGAAAACATATGTTTGTGGGAAAACGTGCGGCACTATCACAAAGTTCTTCTTTTTATCAATTCAGATTTAAGTTGGTTCCAATCTCCAGCTGTCAGTTCAGTTCGTTATTATATGTCGTTTGTCGTACTTGTCTGCTGTTCCGTTTTCGTAAATTAACTATAAATTAAATAAAACAATCTTATAAAATATAACCACTATAGGTTTTAATAATTAATATTTATATTATTGATTAAAAATAATTATAATTTTTAAGTGTTTAATTTTCTTCGAATTATTGCATCTATCAAAATTAATTGAATTTAAGCTATCAAATCTCAAATACGTTACGCTACAAAATTAAATTATTCTAATAGTTATTGTTAAAGATAATTTAGAAAAATCTAACAGTATGTATAGTTTCTATCAATAACATTTGCCAACCTCATCAGAGTCTTCTATAGAGAGAGGTATGATTTAAAATATTTTTGCTAATAATTAATAATTATGCTTTGCTTATTTAATATATTTAAAATTAAATTTATGGAAATCTATTTTTGTTCAGATATTAAAATAATTACTGGTAGGCCTACAGTTCAAATTAGTTGAATAGTCTTTGTTTATTGTGGTATAATGAGTAGATTTTATGTTTATTTAAAAGTTTTAGATTTTATTTGGTTAAATATGTAAAATGGATTATAAATTAATTTTTAATTCTAATAATTGTTCAATTATACTAACGTTCTTTAGATAACACATTTTAAAATTAACAAGCGACTGTTAACAATATTAAAATTTAAAATGAAGTTGAAGTTATAGGGGACTTTTTATTAATCAATCAAATTTATTTATGTGTTTTTTTGTTATTATTTAACAGATGAACATCAGGGAAATTTTCTTAAGCTTATTCTGTTAAGGTAATGTTCTATTCTATTTTTTCTTTTTTCAATATGTTATTTTTTATTAGTTAAAAGTTTTAACAAGTATTTTTTAATATTTAATAACTATTAGATTTTATCAGAATTAATATATTTGTTCTAAGAGAAATAAATATCTCCTAAGAAAATCAAGAAATTTTATCCTTTGTTTGATTTGTAAATATGAATATTTGGGATACAACTTATATTTTGAACAAAATAGAGAATAAATTTTCTTATGTTTACATGTTTTAGATCTAATTTTAAATTTGTTGCTTTAGTATATTGGTTAAATGTTTTACATCAGTTAATTTATTTAATTATATATATAATTATTTACAAACCTATTTAATTTCTAGTTTATAATTATATAAACATTAAAATTAATTAAGTAATTTAATTTTTAGGACTATTTACGTACAATGAGATCATGGTTTGGTCTTTTATGCCTAAGCATTGTCACATTGTGCGTTGGACAGCGTCAACGTCCAATTTATATGAATCAATTTGCTGTTCACATACCTGAAGGTTCTGAGCATGCTGAACGAATTGCTCTTAAACATGGTTTTAACAATATAGGACAGGTAAGAAGTTATTCTGCAAATTTATTTTTATATAAATATATGGTCAATTATAATTTTTTTATTATATAGTTATTTATTATGATATATTATAAAAACTTAAGTGAATACTGATTTTTAATAATAATTATTTAATTTATATTTATACAAATAAAACAAAATTACAATTGTACCAGACATTTATTTTGGGGATGAATAGATAATTTAGTTAAATTTATTTTGGATATTTAGTTTGAAATTAGCTTTATATTATAGTTATAATCAAATTTCCTTGAATTAGGATAAAAGGTTGGGTTAAAAACTTTACATAGTTACACCCTTATGTGTATTTTTCGCTGATATCTTTTATGAATTAAGAATTAAATAAAAGTAGCAATTTTTAATTTTTTTAAATTAATTTTTAATAAACTTCCATTAAGATCTAACTATTTGTGTTATGAAAGTGGTTACATTGTACGTATAACAGAAGTTTTAAAAGAGTAAATTAAAATTGTATTATATCAGTATATGATTAGTAGTTGGGATTAAAGCGAGGAAGAAGATGATATATATATGTTAAAAACTATGAAGAGTTAGTTGAAATATTAAAAAGTCATTTTACACTTGAAGTGAATTAAATTTTGAATGTATCAAATTTCACCAAGATAATCAAAAATCAGTGGCAGACTATGTTGTGGAGTTAAAAGCCAGGACTTCAAATTGGAAACTTCCAATTTGAGAACTATCTTGTTTAAAACAACAAGGCTTACATTTCAAAAACATGTAAAATAGTTTTAATTGACTAAGATTAAATGTAAAAAAAAAATGTTAAATCAAATTGTCATAAATTGCATTCAAAAAACGGAAAAGCAAACATACAAAGGGAAGGTCCAAAAATAAGAGTTATATTAGTCAATCATATGGCAGAGTACACAGAGAATATATATCTAAATTTTGCAAAAAGGTAATATTTAAGAAATAAATATGGCAAAAGAATTTAAAGCAGTTCAGCGTCATCCAATCAAAACGCTATCCAGAAGTTATCAATAGAAATGGAGCAGATAAATTGTATCGTGGAAGAATATTTTGTGGTAAAAGCAGTCAAAGTAGTCCACTACTTCTCAGTTGAAATAATTGTGGAAAATAAACTTGTGTCAATGGAAATAGATGTTGGTACTGCCACCTTGATTATATATGAGATATTAATATTTTCTTGTAAGCTTTTAGTAAATGTAAAATCTTAACTTGCATTTGGGAATAAATTAGTAGTTGCAGGGCAATTTTGGTTAAATAATTTATTTTCTAAATGGAAATATGTAATAAGAAGTAGTAAAATTATTAGTCAATTAGTAGATAGAAGTAGTCAAGAAAATTATATTGTAGAAATGGTAAAATTAAAAAGAGATCAATTATTTAAAGAATTAGTATATTGTTATAATAAAATATGTTTATACTACATACACATTAATGAATATTATAGTGTGTTGTACAAAACATGCATCTAGCGTATTTTATTTCTCGATACTTTATTAGGTATTTTGATTACTAACTTATTAATATTGAATTTGTCTTTTAAAATTCTAACGTTTTTCTTTTATATGTAATCCGATTAATATGTTTGATTTTCATTTGATAATTCATTAATTGTAATAACATGAAATGGTCATGTCCCCATGTTTTTCGAAGAATATTGTTCCATTATATATTAAGTTATTATAAAACTAGAAATAAATATAATTTGGGAAATAAAATAACTTCATTCTGGTTTAATTAACGGCGTGGTGTAACTTCCTACAAATTTTGTGAATTTTTGTTTTAATTTCACTGGAGTTGAATTTTAATAATAAAATTATAGGAATCAGGTTTCTTTGAAGATAGAGTAAACTTATGTAATTTATCGTTTAATAATGATATTATTGGAATTTAAACAAAACCTGTAGTTTAAGATTAACTTGTATATGCGGTGCAAATTTTATGTACTTTGCTTTTAATATTATATTATACATACGTAATCGGTAGTCTCATATTTAATCCCGGCATTGCAACTATGTATAGTAGAGTGGGAAATATTTTTACTTTCTCCGACGATGTCAAAACTCACTATAAGTAATTAAAAGTCTAAAAACGCTTAATGTGTACAATAATTATTCTATAAAACTTAATGAATGTTGTTTGTAATAATAAAACTTATTAAAAATGACTACCAATCCAACTTTAATATCTAGTCACTTGTTTCCAAGTTATTATTTCTACTAAGATATCAAAAAAATATTTATTTAGATAAATCGCCAAACTACTGTTACGGTTTAATTTAGTGTCTAGACGTTATAAGACGAAATATTAAGAGAATAATGTCTGTAATGATTATTTGTCGACTAATGTTATTTAGAAGTTAGTATTATAGTTACTATTATATAGTGATCAATTATATAGTGATCAACACGTCGTATTTCGTATCATAAAATATTGTTGGGTTAGTTCAAGCGAAATGAAAACAGACTAGGATTTTTTTATTAAATTATTTGTTTTAAAATATATTTCAATGTTGAGTTCATAAAAAAAACAGTTGGTAGGGTTTTTCCAAAAAGTTGTTTTAAAACCATTATTTTTGATATTTTTTTTTAGACAGTAAAAAATATAACAGTAACCCCCAACGGTTACGCAAACATTTCCCCCGATTCTCACAAATCATAATATATTAAAAAGTAAAAAACTTTTTGTTTTCCGAAAACCATTGCCTCGCTATTAAATAAAATATCATACGTCATGAGAAGTAACGGGTTTTAGTAGGCTGTCTAGGAATTTTATGTATGCACTTTTAATTTTATTAATTAAAAATTATTTATGGTTAGTTTATTATATTGTTTACCATTATAACTTTTTTAAATATCAAGAGTAAAATTATTTAAATATATCATAAGTTTTCGATTATTATTGGTTATTGTAGTTCTTACAAATATTATATAATAACAAAATTATAAATATGTGATTAGTTTGAAAAAAGCATTTTTTTTTGATAGTTGAATATACAATTTAGTAAAGATAATCTCCTTAACGTAGACATATTTCTGTTGTATAAAGTTTTATTGTATAGAAAATTCTAATTTGATTTTAATCCTAAGAAATGTAGTGTATTAAATATTTAACATTATATTTTTACTGATACTCAATTCCACAAGTTTTTTTGGAAAATTAAAAAATTACAAACTTTATATAATAATATTAGTAATTACAGATTATTACTAAATTTTAATCTGTCATAATGAAATTAATCTGATAGATTGTAATCATTCGTTTCTACATTTTTTTTTTTGATCGGGGGCGTTCTTAGAATTTTACCCCAGAGGATTGCTTGGATTGATATTAATGGTCATATTGATTTTTGTTGAACAGTAGTTAGTCTCTTGGCAAGCGTAAACAAGAGTGCATAATTTTAAACAAATTACATTATTTCCGTTCGGTTTAGTGGTAGGAGCCAAAGTAAGACACTGACCAACTCTAAACAGACTGTTGTCGCCATTTTATTTTCTTTGCATTAGCTTAATTGTTATTATAAACAAAATGTCTCGTAAAGCGAATATTTTTTTAAACTGAATTTCCTTTAAAGAGATGTGTAAAGTCTATGGGTTTTGTTTATGTTTAACATACTAACCGATGTACTCGGTTTTTATAGTTTAAATAATTAAACATAAACAACAAAACAGTTATTTGTTGGATAATCATGTTCTTGAATATGTTTTTGAATAAAATTTCAAGAATTAAAATTTGTCTTGATTCACTAATATTTTAATTTAAAATAAAATAAAAACAATGTATGTATCTTTTATATTGTAGTATATATAATATATGATATAATATAAAGAAAAATTACTCATAGTTTGAAAAAAAGTTTTTATTCATTTTTAACCATTAAGTCTACTGTAGAAAACTTAAATATCTTAAAAACAAATTTCTAGTTACGTCTACTATTAGAAGAATTATTTCATTTTTTGTCAAATACGTTTTAGATAACGATCCAATGAATTTAATCTAAATGTATTAGTTTTAAATATTTTTAGTAAAACTTTTCAAAATAAAACACATATTATAAAGAATAAAATCAAAGAATTCTAAATTTAGAAGATAATATATCTTCTGTAAATGACACTTTATTTAACTATTGTCTAGTATACTTAATCACTGTAATTGGGTTTGATCAAATTAATTTTTCTAGGCATGTTATATCTTTTTAAATCGAGAATCTAAATTTTATAAAATAGATTGATTCCACATAATAAATGTTCAAATTATGTCAATAAGTTAATTGAACTTAACTTTTTATTAAATTTTTAAAAGTTGTGTAATATCTGTAAGCGTTGATAAAATGCGTTTCCATTTGAAACTTATTACACTGTTCAGAATTACATTTAGGTAATGTTAAGTTTAGTATTACTTAAGTATATGACTGTAGTCATCATAAATATAAATCATCAATTGAGAGAATATTTCCTGTTATCGAATTAACGTCATTAGTTCTTTTCGACAACTGAATATATTATGCAATTTATACATTATTTCGAGCATAATATTATTATAGATAAACTATTTAAATTCATTTATACTTAAATCCAAAAGTTTCTGTTCCAAATTATATAAAATTTTACTGTATAGAGATTAGCTATGAGCACAAAATGATATGTGATGTGACGTGACAATGAATTAGAAGTGAAATGTGTGTCAAATAGTGTCCTGTTACCTATTACGTTGTGTTACGCGTTCTTACACTTGCTAGTATTATTGACGCACAATAAAATATCTAAACTTTGAAAAAAATATTACGGCATTTCATTTTTGCAATGTATTATAATAAATGCCGTGTTGTGTTTTATTTCTTTTTTCTTCTTCAATAATCAATTTAATAAATGCACTAGTCTATTTAATATTATTGTGTAAATCATAAAAATTAGGATAAATTTATATAGTAGTACGATGATAGAATGTATTTTTATAAAGTTCGTAAATATTTTATATTAATTTTCAAGAAC